ACTGGCCAGAGGTAAGACATCAAGCATCAGTAATGATAATCACCATAATGAATAGAAATGCATAAAACATTTATATCCATGACTTCATAAAAAAAAACTTTCTTGGTCATCTTTGGAGAATGCTAGAGAACCAATTCATTATCTTGAAAACTAAAACATAAAAAGAAAGAATCAAGCATTTATCCTGCCTTTTCTATACATAGCATACCTCAAGTAACTGAGCTGGTGAGGAAAACTCTGTCATTACAGAAGTAGACCAGCTAATAAATAATGAGTGATAGAATTAGAACATCACCATTTTGCAACCCCTCTGACGAATTAATGGGTCTAGGCAATAATCATGAATGGCTCCTAACGTCACAAAACAGAGCGATAACCAAACATTATGTGTCTCCTGATGAAAGTATCCAGAATCACTGATGAAGTATTCTTACTCCCCAAAACCAAACCTGAATCTGATCAAGTTCCCAGATCTAACTATGAGTGTACACAACAAACAGGGAGGAACATAGTAAACAACAACATAGAGACATAATTCGGAAAAAAAATTTAGACTGCAAAAACCATAGAACAAACAACCTTGTTTCCTTAATAAAATCTACAAGGAAAAAAGAGGGGAAGGAATGAGAAATCTTAGTTTCAAAAGTCTTAAGCAATGTTAACCATTTTAATGTATAAAGCTTATTTGGATCCTGATTCAAAGAAACTATTTTTTTAAAAAAGGAAGTATGGGAGGGAGGAAGAAAGGAAAGGAGGAAGGAAGGAGAAAAAAATGAAAGAAAGAAAGGAAAGAAAGAAGGAAAGAAAAGGAAGGAAGGAAAGAAAGAAAAAGAAAGAAAAGAACTGGAGAAATTGAAACATCATTTGCTTATTTATGATATTAAGAAATTATTAACAACTTTAGTTGTGATAATAGAATTGTGGTTATGCTTTTTAAGAATCCTTACCTTTTTAAAATAAAAGTTTTATTTTGAGATAAATGTGGATTCACACGCAGTTGTAAGAAATGATACAAAGAGATCACTCATACTCTTCACCCAGTTGCCCCCAATGGTAACATCTTGCAAAACTATAGTGCATTATCACAACCAAGATGCTGATATTGACACAGTCAGATACAGAACATTTCCATCGCCACAAGGTTCCCTCATGTTGTCTTTTATAGCCACACCCATTTCCCTTCCACCCATACCGCCCCCAACCCCTGATAACTGCAATCTGTCCTCCAATATGAAATCTTGTCATTTCAAAAATGTTAGATAAATGGACTCAAATACTACACAACCTTTTGGGATTGGCTTCTTCCACTCAGTAATTCTCTCGAGAGTCATCCAGGCTGTTGAGAGTATCAATAGCTGGTTCTTTTGTACTGCTGAGTAGTATCCGTGCTAAGGATGTACCATGGTTTGTTTAACCATCCACTCCCTGAAAGACTTCAGAGTCGTTTCCATTTGGGCTATTATGAATAAACCTGCTATAAACATTTGTGTAGAGCTCTTATCTTTTAAAGATACATACGTAAATATTTATGGATCAGATAATATGATGTCTAGGATTTGCTACCAAAAAATTCCAGATTGGGTGAGATACCAAAATAATAAGATTGGCCATTAGTTTGCAAGTGCATTCTATCTCTACTTTTATATATGTTTACAATCTTCCATAATATAAAGTTTAAAAAAAAACAGTAAGAAAAAATCACTTATCCGACCATTACACACTGACATACATAAACACACACATTTTCAAAGAAAACTGAAGGTATGATTTGTTATCTTCTGATTTTAGTTCATGCCAAGATGACAGGAGTTCTTTACCTAAAACACAGAGACCACATCTTCCAGTGATCATTACTGTAACATTCACTGTGCCAATTTAGGCAGATCCAACCTAGGCATCTGTTCAATTTCTTCTAGAAGTTCTTTATTAGGCTGCATGGTTGAGATAATAGGTAGCCTGTAATGTTGGACAAAAGCAGGTAAATAATCACCATAATCAAATGTACAAGATTCATGAGTGGCTTATCTTCAAAAGAGAGGGTTCATGTCTGACATGAATAGGTCTTATCATCAAGACAAATGCTGAGAGAACAGAAGTGAGATTACTGAAGATGAAGAGCAACAAACTATGTGAGCACAATCAAGCCTGAAAAAGAAATGAAATGCATTTTATATTATACGAAGGGTGCTTTTGTTTTTGAGCCACTCTGGAGGACAGGATATTATTATCATGCTCAGTCTGCAAGTTAATGGTTCTTTAGTATAATTCTGCAAAATGGTGTCTTCTGTTTGGTGCCACCAATATTCTATCAGCTCATTCTTCCCTAGTGCCATATCACACCCTCCCCTTCACAGCACTGAGGACACCCTATTTTTTTCTCCACATGGGGCCTTACAAAAATGAGGACACACTCTCTGAAAGCAAAGAAGAGCACATAAATACAAACCCACTAACTAAACTGGGATTAAAAGCTAAGACCTCCAAAGTAAATACTCATAATGACTTTCAAATATCAAATTAGTACAATGGCCACAAATGAGTTTCCCTTGCTAGGTCTCTAATGCCTAGACATACATTATGATGAGCAATTCTGAGGCTTAAATAAAGTGTGTTATCAAAAGTAGTTGGGGATACCTGTTCACAGATCAATCCCAGTTAGACAAATCCCACAGGAACATCTAAATGTTACAGCTATGTTGTAGTTTGGTTATATCAAATATCCCTCCCAATAAGTGGGTCTCACACTTGGTACTGAGACATCAATGCTTATTGCGATAGGATTTGATCATTACTACCACACTTTGATAAGCAGGAAAAAGATGGCCCAGTAACAGACTGCCTATATGATGCTTAAAGGCCTGTAAACTAAAAGGTATTAGTCAAGTCCATTAAAAACTATCAGTACACAGATTGATTCAAGTGGTTGGTTTAGCAACTTAGGAATTCCATCAACAGAACAAAATCTATTGACAAGATCATACTAGGAAAATAAGAAAATATGGTTGAGTTCAAAATCTTGTTCATATGTCACAAATCAGAACACAGAAATGTGGAATTAAAACTCAAAATGACATAGACCACTATGAATTGTGCTATAGGTTTGCACTGAGGAGATTAAAACAGGGCTGCTAGTGACAGAAAAAGGAAAAAAAAAAGAATCGGGCTCAGGTACATAATGTAAGACATAATTCAGAAGGAGCAGAGAAAAAGGCACTAAAGTTAAATACATGTATATTTTTGGATGTTCCCTTCCTCTCTCCTTTGCTCTCTTCCTTGACTCTCACAACCAAACATTTTCTGGGTCCTGTGGAGTCTGATTCTACAGTACATATATTTTTGGCCAGTTTGTAGTCACTGACAAGACACTGAAAGTTAAAACACTTAGCATTCACCTTGACATACTTAAAGGTTAATCTTAAACACTGCATAAAATAAAATGCTCTTGCTCAAAAATCTTTATGATGGATTTGTTTATACATCTCATTACATTATCTTTCTTCATAGCAACCACTCCTGCCTGGTCTGCAGAACTGGGATTTTGGAGGGGGTCATTTTTGTGAGCTAAAGTGGTTTCAGAGAAGGGAACATATGAAAGAATGAAGAGGAAACAGAAAGATAGAAGGAAGGCAACAGGGAAAGCATTAAACCTGGAAAAAATTCCAAGAACAAACTGCCCAAGATGGGTTCGGAGACGTGAACAGCCATGTCCGGCAGGAGCTGAGACTGCACAGTGTGGAGGAGAGGGAGACAAGGTCAGATTGGACCCAGGGAGCGGCAGCCATTGAAACCCAGACCAGGCATTTAGACAACATGCCACAGGCCCTCAGACAGCTATCGCAGGTTTGCACATGGGTAAGGTAAGTACAGCGTGGTTAGGAAGATGTGTAATGGGAAGGGGCAGGGAGGAAGGAAACAGAAGTTTTACTAATTGTTCTAGGAGAGGTGATAAGGCTTGATCTAGGAAGGTGACAGCAGGAAGAGAAAGAAAAGGATTAATTTGAGGGGCAGTGTGAAAGATTCATATACTTAAACCTGGTTTTGTCCTCAATTAAAACATAGAAAATGGTCATTTGCAGTCATTGTCAAAGAACTGCTTACGAGATGCTAAGGATTCTTATGCTGATTGGGAGGTAAACTGTCATTATTATGATCAAACACATAAGAGGGCATAAAAATTCTAATGGCTGATAAAGTCATTTTTAAAGGAAGCTTTGATTAAGCTTAACAGAGGCAGGGAAAAATAATATTTTTGATAAAAGTAAAAATTATTTTTAAAGAGACTATGGTTGCAAGGTGATGAGTATTTTTAAATTTCTAAAATAATTAACTGCTGATTTTAGCAAGGCAGTAATAAAGAGTTATATGATTGACAAATCATTTTTCTCTACTTTTGTAAATTTACTTTTTATATCTACTTTTGCAGATCTATTTTCTCAAGTTTTTCAGATCACTATTGCAAATCTATTTTAATCAAAAGTTAATTTTTTTTGCAAATGACCTATGAGTAAAAATCTAAAGAATTTTAGATGATGTAAGCTAAATAATCTATTTCTTGGTGATATGCCAACTTTATGTCTATTCTCATTTACCTAATACATTTTTATTGAACACCTACTGTATGATACGTACTGTGCTAGTGCTGGATATACAACAAAGAGGAAAAAAACAGGGTCTGCCCATGTGGGAGCACACAGTATAATGGAAGAGAGACATTAATTTTTTTTGAATCCATATATATAATTTCAACTTGTAAAAAAGCACTATGAAGGAAAATTACAGGGTGCTATGAGGGCTTAAAACAGAGAGGCTAAACCAAGCCTGGGTCTGGGAAGATATTTTACAGAAAACTGTCTTTGAATTGAAATCTGTAAGGAAGTAGAGGAGTGAAATACAAACAACAACAACAACAACAAAAACCAAAAAGGAGGGGAGAGAGAGCTAGAAGAAAAGATGAGCAGAGGGAAAGAATCACTTATAACACAATGAAAATACTCTCTAACCTGCTGAGTAATCGTGTCCCATGGTCCCTGCAGCAGCCGCGTCCTATAGCACTCATGGACGCCTTCCCATACGTCCTTCAGAGCTAAAGGTCTTCCATCTGTGAAGGTGCATGGTAAAGACTGCCAGTTAGTAATCCATTTGACACGATGGTGCTTGGTGTCTATCTACAAGTGCTGAAAGAATGTTATGATTTTAAAAAATCTTTAGTAGTACATGTACTATTTATATATCAAAAGAATGCTATATGAATTACTATTTTCCTCCTGAGGGAATTTTAAACATTCAAACTTCTCTCTTTTGTAACCATCTAGCAGTTAAATTATCTGTTCCTTTATTGCCTCAAGGAATTTTATAAAATAAATATAATCCAAATGTAGTTGAGAGAGAAATGATAGACAGAAGCATCTGCAAAGGACCAGGCAGACAGACTCACATATTCACAACAGTATTCTATGGATATATTTGAACTCTTAACATCTCCTCTAATCCTTAAATCAGAGACCATACACATGCTTCTTTCAACCTCTTGACTGAACATCTGCAATGTTCAAATCACTCTGTTGGGTACCATGCAGAATAGAGATAAGGAAAGCACACAATTTCTCTTAGTAAAGAGAGTTTCCCTACTAGGGAAACTATGACCAGTATCTCAGTAAATACCGATACTAAAATACTAGGTAGAAAGTGGTCACTGCCACAGGAAAACTGCATTTGTCTGACAGTCCAGAGGAGGGAGATATTAACACCCACCATTTGTGGCAGGTGGAGAAGGGATTGTTGGGGTTGGAGGGGCTTGAAAAGGCTTGGCATGAAGAGATTAACAAAAGCTTTAGTGAACAATAAACCTCCTTTTCTTTCTTTAAGCAGCTTCAATTATTCACCTATGTTCATAATCACCCAAATAATGCATTTTATGAAGTACACTATGGTGCAAGGTAAGTAAAGAAACAAGACATCTAAGTTCAGAAAAGAAAGCAGAAAGAGGGAATTACCTATGGACTTTAAAACCACACGCTGCGGAAAAGCAGATGGCTTAATGTTAGAATTTAGTGCTACCTGGCCCCTTCAGAGCCACCAAGTCCTCAAGACTCATGGGTGTGCTCTTTTCCTTAGGAAAGTAGACAATATAATTTAAAGGAAATTCATCAGCATACTGAATCATTAAGCACAAAAAAGTATTTGGTCATCAGATGCAACAAAACCTGGGGAAATAATGTACTAAAACCCCTCCCCAAATGAAAAGCTACTGCATTCAGACTTAAGGAGTACAAGAAAAGATGTGGGTGGGGTGTGGGAGAGAAGTGCAAGATTTGAAGGCCCAGCTGAGTTTGAATCCTGGTGTTGGCATTTATTCTCTACGTGACTGCAAGTTATCTTGCTTTTAACTTTACCTGAAAAATAGGGATAATAATCCTTTTCAAATTCTGTTCTTGTGAATGGCCTACATCAATGACATACCTAGGACTGTGTCAGGCATACAATAAGAGCTCAATATACGTTAGGTATCTCCTCCTAGCTCCCACCGCACCACTCCAGTAATTCTCATGCTGTAAAGCTAAAAGAGTCACTTACAGGCCATTATTTCTTAGAATCTTCTTGTTGTTTCTATACCATGAACAGCTCCGTTTGTTATAGTAATATACTAATCCCATAGACAGGGCATTTCTCATGTTTGACCTGAAAAGTTGAACTTTTCCTCAACCTTTATTTTCAATAAATAGAAAAAGAATATTTTGATACATTTTCAATAAGTATCTTCATCTTGGCATTTATCTGGCGGCAGGAGACCATTATCTTGTGATAAATAGTTTTATTCCACTGACATTTCCATGTCTGTAAAATGAACAAGATTTATTCATCCAATTAACATTTGAATGTCATGTTTAGCTACGAGTTAAAAACAAGCTGCCTTCAGTATCTGCGTTATATTGTTTTCTGAACACATTTAAAAGAGTAGGGCCAAACTTTACTTTTAAGATAAGCATCACACATTTTCAAAATATGCACGTGCATGTGCACATGTGTGTGTGTGTGTACTGATGTTGGAAGAGAGAAATAGCATCCTAGGCACAGCAGTGTCACACAGTAACCAAATAATCAAATTATAAAAAGATGACATGCTTTTAGAATAACTTTCAGATGTCAAAGTTAGAAGAAAGTAAGTTGAAGAATAATAAAATGTTATTGCTGTTATAATTACTAATTTTATAGACAAGGCAACCAAGGTCTTCAGGCAATACACATCTGCCAAAATTACGGAGCCAGTTCATGACTGCACTGGAGCTGGAATCAAGTCTCAGTACTCACAATCCAGTGCTCTTCCTGCTGCTCCGTGCTGCCCCTGAGAGTGAAGACTGCATATGTCCTTTCACCACTGCAGTCCTGCTGCACAGTCCTAAGCCTCATTCACACATTGCAAATGCTTTATAAATATTTACTGGATAAATGATAAACGAAAGAATGCCTTCCTTAACTACATGTCCTCTAAAACAAGGAAAGGCTTTGCAGACCTAGAGAAGAATGCTGGGTTTAAAATTTGGGAATCAGTAATGATTTTAATTTTATTCCTTAAAATATTTCAGCAAACAATCTAAGGATGGAGTAAATGGCTTGGATATTACCACTGTCAAAAACTGGAAACATTCATACAAAATGCGATGATCAGCAGCCTAGCAACAATGTGGAGAGACCTAAAACAAATGTCATAGAATGTTTCATCAGACGTGATGCTATAATTAAGAATATTTGTCATAAGTTTTAGGAAACACCAAATTTAGAGGAAAGAAATTTAACATCTTAAATATAGCAATTAAAAAATTAGGAGTTTGGGACTAATAGATACACATTACTATGTATAAAATAGATAAACCATAAGAACCTACTGTATAGCACAGGGAACTATATTCAATTTCTTGTAATGAGCTATAATGGAAAAGGAACTAAAAAAAATATACATATATGTATGTATGTGCATAATTGAATCACTCTGCTATACACATGAAACTAACATTGTAAATTGACTGCACTTCAATTAAAAATAAGAATTAAAAAATGATCTGGTCAACTTAGAATAAGAGACAATCACAAGGAGTAAAAACATAAGTTCAAAATATAGATGCATGACACTCCTTTATGCAGATTTATGAGAGTGCTACCTGCCTGCTACAGAGAACAGTGTTTTTTAAGTGAATGGATGTGATTGCATTCTCCAATGCGTTTACAAAACTGTTTAAAAACACATGTATTAACAATGATCAAATGAGTGCTTGTGCCAGCTACTCTGACAAGAGTGTCAATCTCTTCAGTTTCTGCAGACCATTTACAGTACAGGAGATCTGGGTGACATAGCTTTGTCTCTCACATACAGATATGACAATAATGATTTAATGAAGTATGACGTGGATTCTTTTCTCTAAGCCTTCATCATCAGTTTGCCTAGTCATAGCTCATATCTTCATGACTGAAGACATACAAAAGTTAGTTTTGTGATCTTTTACTTAAAAACAAAAATTTTGAATTGATCAGCAATATCTTCAAACACGATATACACAACTGACATACAAAATACATTCAAATATGATTGTAACTCTAATTATTCCAACACCAAAATGGAACCTTCAGAAATCCCACTGAAATCATTGACATGAGATAGTCAAATATATTTGTAAAACCACATCATAAAAATAGAGCTTAAATATGGCAGAAACTTGATGAATTTCATGATTTTGATCCTATCTACCTATTTATGAAAATTGAAGACCCAAAACTTTAACTTAAAATTAAAATGTAGACATAAACAACTACTGGGTTAAATTCATGAAACACATTACTATGTGCCTTCATGTTCCACTGAAGTTATCTTCAATCAAGAACTTTAAGCCCTTTTTAGAGGGCCTATTTTTTCTGTCTGGCCTCAGTCAGACAGAGGAGACATAAGCATACTCAATCAACGACTCCCTAGTTTCAGACCCAAGATATTCGATAGCACCAATTTCAACATGCTTAGAAATCTCATTAATCACACTGAGGCTGAGAAGCTCAGTAAAATCCCTCGCATACTTGAAAAATTGAAGTAGAAGCCAAAATAATTTCATCAGCAACCTACAAAGTGAGCATGGTAAATTAAGGTCATTTATTTAACAAGTGTTTAATCGAGTGCCTACTATGTGCCTCTATCACCTGGAATGATAATACACATTTGCACTAGAGGAATATTCTGTCAGCAACCTGAAATGTCAATGACAAAAGAGGAAGAGACAATGGATGAAAAATAGAATAATTAAAAAGTACGATCTTTAGCAACTGCCAGTAGCATTTAATTTAACATTTTCATATAAAATCTCTCAATTGAATAATAACCTACATGTCAAGTAATCTATATATTACTCAAAATGTGCAGCTTTCTAAATTAAACTTCTCAAGGCTATTAGTTTTCATGAATCAAAGAGCAGCATGAGATATTTCACCAGCACTACCTAACTCCAGTGCAAGCATGCTGAAGTCACCTTTATCCTGTGGTGCATGCTTTCACTGAAAGTTCATAACTCCTAGAAGGAGGATGAGAGAGAGTATAAATTATTCAGTGCAAATTTAGGAATAATATTCTGAGTGTGGTCACTAGAAATAAAAAGGAAAGGGTGGATTTTTCACAATGAAATATGTCACTATTCAATATACTGCCTTCAAGAGAGCTTCAAAGGATATAAAGATTCATGTCATACTCCATACTGAGGCAGAGATGATGCTCCGTCAAAGGGGAAAATTCGTTTTTGCTTCAGTAAGAAAATTACACTGTGATATGAAATGAGTTAATTGTTCATGTACATTCTTATCAGCTACAGTGCTGGCTAATTCTGTAATTTTTATTTATTCCCGAGTACATTTTTTCCATTTTGTGTCTTTGTTAATCTCAAAAAAATCTGAATGAAAATTCCAAAAATATAGATTATGGCAACTTCTCTTTAATGTTTCTTAAATTTTGGTTACTGCATCATGCAGTAAAAAAATGGGCTAAAGAGTTCGAGTCTTAACTCCGTAGTTTTCTATGTATCCTTGAATAAGTCATTTAACCCCTCTGAGCATGACGGTTTCTGTTAT